GATAAAAACGCGATTTTCTGCTTTTTCATGCGTGTATCTCACTCACCTGAAAACATAGAATGCTCAAAATTTTATCGGTAGTGAGAGGTGATGAGATGAGTAAAATAAAAAATATTTTAGGAATCCGACAAACCACTACGGATTTATGGCAGAAACGGTATTAAACAACCAATTGCAAATAAGGCGTACAATTCTTTTATTTTTTCTACAGATCTTCTTGGTTTTTGGGGAGTTTTCCAAATTTTGAATGGGATACTCGGATTCAGCGTCGCGAGGAGAACGTTTTGCAAAAAATTTTACTCGCCAACTCAAAATTTGGATTTTTAAACTAATTTTCAAATTTTAAATTTTCGACCATTTTTGAAATTTCAATAAGTCAGTTTAAATAAGAAATAGAACTCTGGGATTAATGGTATTCGACAGAGAATTCTGGAAAACTCCTCAAAAACCAAGAAGATCAATCAGCAGAACTTTGGAAAACGTCTACGTTTACTCAGCTTTGCATTCTCTATTGAGTACCGCTAGTCCCATTTAACGGGATTGTAATTATGTCTATGGGACGGGATCGGGATAGGGATTGGCGAAAAGAATTTTTCGGGATCGAGATCGGGATGAAAAAACTCAATCCCGCAGAGTTCTAATTTGCACTATTCGATCTTAATCCATGGCGAGCATCAGGTAACGTGTATTGAAGAATCGAACGATTTACACGACTGAAACCCATGAAAATCTTATAGAATAAACACATTCTATTCACATAAAATAAGTGTGAGGCTGTTAGCCATCCTAAATCCTTCAAGACCTTATCAGGTGACGAACCTCGCATAGTATCGGTGATTGTTAGTGCAACTTGGTATTGAAGCTTCTCCAACTTTTTAATATTTTGATGAGTAGAGAGAGGAGTTTTCCGAAAATTAAGATTTCGAAACTATTTTTACCCAAGATTAAAAAATGACCTCCTGATTTCCTGCGTTTCTGTAACCATAAACATATTTGAAATGAAAAATGATAGATGGTGTTCTGATATGTAGGCTAGTTTGTAGGAAAACCAGGATTACGGTTTCCTGATTTTCTTTTATTCCAAACAAATTACAAGGAAACGACTGAGCAGGAAAAATTATAAGAAAGACAGTTTTTGTTTTATTTCTGTTGAGTATCTAACTGCATCTAGGATCGTACTGGGTCATCTAGCTAGATGCCATTTTTCTTTATACTCTGGAATCTAGATTAATCACCTATCATATTAGGTTTTACCGATAAACATGATTATAGATGAAAGAACTGGAAGTTAGAAAAAAGCCTAATTATGCTGCTATATGTATGTAGGCAATGTAATCTTACAAAAAAAAACTGGTGAATACAGACTGCAGTATAGATGATGAGAGAAAAAGAACAATTTTTTAACTCCGACCGTAGAATGAAATCTAAAATGGATGGTCAACTTTATATTTTTTTTATAACTTTTAACTTTTAACTTATATAACTTTTATATCGTAATCATATATTATGTTATGTAAAGCAATTAAACTGCTTCATAAGCTTTTTCTCCTAACGTAATTTACGTTAAAAACAAAACAGGTTTCATTTCATGCCACTGCTGAGTTGTATGCTGTTAGGTAAATAAATGTAGTGCAAAAGAAGAAGCAAGATAACCTACTGTTGACATAATCAATTTTTCTCCGTTCTACATAAACAAGAGCAAAGGCATATATACATCAGACTCTATCAAAAGCATCTAAAATGTTGCAAGAAGCTGTGACTTTATACAGTAAGAAGTTTGTTTAATAGCAGACTTTTTAATATAATATAAAACTTAACAATTTGCTACGATTATAGTTTTAGATAATCTATTAGCTATACAAGAGTGGAATCAAGTACAAATCCAGTTTTTGAAGTAGATTCAAAGAACAACTTCTCAAGCTGATTAATAAAGCATCAAACTACGTCTGAAAGGAGCGGTCTCACGATATCAGCCCTGATGGCTAAATATTACACAATCGGGAAAGTAATCGAGCCCTCTTGCCCGAGTGGAAAAGAATTTATCATTAGAACTTATCTACATTTCAATCATTAAAATGTAGATAAGTTCTAATGATAAATTCTAATGATAAATAAAAGTTCTAATGATAAATTCACATCAGAAAAGCTAACTTAAAGTTTAAGTTAGCTTTTCTGATGCGTTAATATATCTCTACGCGAGTCGTTATCATTAGACCGTACTGCCATCGATAGGATCGTATATATCTCCATTAAAATTTGTACAACTGGTAAAAGAATTTTTTTTTTGAAGAGTCACAATGAGTTTTACTTGCTTTTTCTTATTTTTTAGAAAATTATGACTTTAATTATGTTGAAATGTCATTCAACACTAATACAATCGAAGCTGTTCATAGAAAAAACGATTTCTAAACGTTTACTAATACGTTTATTCTCCTCTTTACATAAAATAACTCCTGCACCATCTCTTATTCTTCCTGTCACACGTTCAATGTCTCTTACCACTTCCGATATTATCTCTTATCGTGAAAATGGTTATCATATTATACCTAATTTCCTTTCTCCTTTTCAACTTGAGCAATGGCGAACAATAATATTTGGTGCAGTACATGATCGTGCAGAAAAAAAGTATAAATTTCCCACTGTTAATGAAGACGATCATACGAATACTGATTTAGACTATTATGACAATGTATTCACGCAACGTGTTAATTTATGGCAAACACATGAATCAGTCAAACAATTATTATTAGAGAGTGGATCAGTTATTGGAAAAATTGCTGCGGAATTAGAGAATATTGATTGTATTAGAATATGGCATGATCAGGCATTAATTAAAGAACCATTTGCAAATCCAACGGCTTGGTAGTATTAACATGGCTATTTTCTCTTTTCATTTCTACTATTGTCTTTTTTCTTTATAAAGGCATCTTGATATTCCTTATTGGTCGTTTACTTCTCTACATGCAATAAGTGTTTGGATTGCATTAGATGACGCAACATTAGAAAATGGTTGTATGTATTTCATGCCTGGATCACATAAGGTAAGACTATTATTCACGTGAAAGTAGATTACTAGATTTTTATTCGATTGTAACTATTTGCTAATGACAGTGGAAATCTGATAATCGGGCGATTGTTAGACTTCTCCTCAGTTGCAACTATCGATTTATCGCCCGATAACCGATCGATTTAACTGTTTCTACTGTCTGTACCAAAACAGAATGGACTCCATTGTTTTTCGAATAACTTTCGATAGGAGTGAGATAGGGACCTGCGGCTTTTACCATCATGTTTCTAAGACCTTTTTGTAAGCAGAAACTTGTTTCAAAAATTTCTGGAAGTTCGATTTTCCAGAGGATCTTTGAAAGACCAGCCCCGTCTTCAGAAACTAACATACAATGTTAGTTACCTTTTTTACATGCGTAGGTAGTCCGGACGTTACTCTACAAATTTATCCAAGTCCCAGCTCTCCAGCTATCGTCGTTTGGATAGGGATCGCTTTCCCCGAACACGTGTCTCTCCGGAAAGACTTAAAAGGCGCCATATATTGTTGATCAAGCCGAAAAAGTGGGCCAGCAGAACACTGAGGCTTTATGATTTTTCAGAAGGTTTCTGGAAAATCTTAAAACCAATGCCCAGCTAAAAATTTACCTTTTTCTCTTCGATTATGATTTATGAGCTGTCAAGAGCGTTTCCTGAAAGGTTCCTTGATTTAGCATGAGATTTGACCGAGATAAGAGGATTTTAATTGTTGCTAGTAACAGACGAAAAACCGGTTTTTCACAAAAATACTTCTAGCGAAATTATTTTCATTTCTACATAAAAACAAATGTTGCCACTCTGCTCAGCGTAGTCGATTACCTATATTCCATGGCATTTCCAGATTCTCAGATATGTCTGCTCGGAGAGAGACCCGTGCTCGGGGAAAGCGAGCCCTGTCCAAACGACGATAGCTGAAGAGCTGGGACTTGGATAATTTTGTAGAGTAACGTCCGGACTACCTACGCATGTAAAAAGATAACTAACATTGTATGTTAGTTTCTGAAGACGGGGCTGGTCTTTCAAAGATCCTCTGGAAAATCGAACTTCCAGAAATTTTTGAAACAAGTTTCTGCTTATAAAAAGGTCTTAGAAATATGATGGTAAAAGCCGCAGGTCCCTATCTCACTCCTATCGAAAGTTATTCGAAAAACAATGGAGTCCATTCTGTTTTGGTACAGACAGTAGTTGCACATGCAGACACATGTAGTCAAAAGTCTCTTTTCCCACTAGTAATCTAGCTGACAACTAGTCACGCATTGCCCGATTACAGCGAAATGTATCTAAATGTTTTGAAAGAATTGTCTAAAACTATTGATGTAGAAAAACAAATTCATTTACTTTTGATTTGTCTTTTCTGCCTTCTCGATGTTGCTTTACTCAAGTGTATGGCAAAAGTTGGATACCCTAATAAAAATCTTAGGCACTTCTTAAAATTATCTTACTAGGATTGTGTGAAATCTTAACTTTAGAGTCCTGCGGAACGGGATTCGAGGCTGTCCCGTGGGAGTCTACTTAACTTACATTTTAAGATCTTAATAAGATCTGACACCTCTGCACCCTTTTGTTTTGCTCTCATTCATCTATTTGAGTAACACCGGAAATATAACTGAATTTTAGAATGTCATTTTTTTTCACAACTTTACTCGTACAACAAAATTCTCATTTCTTAACATAACTCTCGTTATCAAAGCAAAGTTTCTCTTAGATGAAAGTCACCTAACTCCACCACCGAAGTGTCAGAACGTCACCGTTTTGCCGTTTGTGTTTATCTTATAATATTCACAACGAATATCGTAGAACCCTGAAAAGCGTCATGTTTTGTAGAACAAAGTATGCTCTTCAAGTTCTACCGCTGGCTCAATTCTCTTTTTCAGCTATATTTAAAATATGGAAAGTTCCAAAAATACTTTCATTTATTTTTAGGACTTTTGGTATCTCGATCGTAGCTGAAAAAGAGACAATTATTTCGAATCGCGGTAGAACTTGAAAAGCACACTTTGTTCTACAAAACATGACGTTTTTCAGGGTTCTAAGATGTTTGTTGTGAATATTATAAGATAAACAAAAAGAGCAAAACGGCAACGAACTGACACTCCGCTAACACAGATACGTGATTTTCGCGCTTGGCATAGGAAAGTTCGCTAATTTCAATAACTGGAATACTGCTGCATATGTTAGCATTTGAAATTACATAACATCTAATGAAATAGCAATTTAACAGTTAATAGCTAAAAGAACAGACACCTATATCTGATATTTCTTGGCATTGATGTCCCAAGTCTCTTCTACAAAATATTGAAAATAGCGTCTTTCTTAGTTTTATCTATTGAATGTTATTCAGATAACATCAGGCTTCTACTTAAAAATAGGCAATAAAAACTAAACAACGATTAGAGATGCTTTTCCATCGATGATATCCGTACTAAGTATGTCAATGCAGAAATTGCTACTATTGAAAAAAAGAAGGCACAGGTATTTTCTGAATAATTCGAGAATGAAATTGGCTGAAGAGCTTGAGTTTTCACCATTGTGTGGCTTAAACTTTACCATCTATATTGTCCTAAAACGTTTTCAAAATCCGACTTTTTACATGGCGTATATCACCAATCTTTAAAAAAAGGTCTTAAAACTAATGAAAGCCAAGTTTTGAAAAATTAAGGTTATGAGACTATTTTCACTCAAGATTAAAAACGGCTATTCTGTAGCCTCTTGATGACGAATCTACAAGAAAAAATTACAAAACCATATGATTTTCTGAGGAGTTTTCTCTAAATAAAAAAAATGCTTTTCTATCTTTTTAATCTATAATTATTTTTGTAGACAAAATTAATCATATCCTGAAGTGTTCAGGCCATTATGATGTGTTTTGAGTGAGTTATGAATTTTTTGATCGTAGGTGAAAACAGTCTCGACACCTTAATTTTCGGAAGAGTTGAATTCACTAGTTTTAAATTTTATTCTAAAAACAAACATTGTCTCTAGGTTTAACGCGATTGATCATGTATGTTTAATGCAATTTTAAGGTTATCCTGAGTCATCGCATCCTAATCGGGGACCTTTAACGAGATCCGATATCAAGCTCGAATCACCGAAAATCAAGATCTTGCTTAACTCCAATGTTACACAAAGCACGCTAGACTGTTTTCTCCATATAAGAGACAGAAAGATGGTTGGGAAAAATAAAAAAGAACGAATTTTTTTCAAAGATTGGTGAGATACGCCATGTAACAGGTCAAATTTTGAAAAAGTTTTAGGACAATGTAGATGGTCGGGTTTTAGCCACCTAATGGTGAAAACCCGAGCTATCCAGTCAGTTTTCATTTTCGAATTATTCAGAAGAGAACCGAAAGCTATCTTTTGTTTTTTTTCTATAGTACTTTTCATACACACGTAATGTGGTAGGCGTAGAAAATATCGTTTGATTTCCTCGACTTACTCATTTAAATATTGAATAATACAACAAGCACAGTAGCAAAAAATGATAAAAACGTTCAATATCCATAGCGATTTGTTGCGTATAAGCACCGCACAATCATGGTTAAGAATTAACAATACCAGTTCACCTTAGCGTTTCTCATAACGCATCCTCCAAAGCATGTATTTGTCTATCATTCATGAGTATTTGAATATATTCTTGTAGATGACAATCTAGAATGCAGGCGACATCTTTCCACTATGGTACTTCATAGCTTTCTTGAAGTTTTAATGAATTAACGCACTATAAAATGATCGCTGATCTCAGCAAGAATCCAGTGTACAATAGAGAATTACACTTACCGCAAAACCTACATCATCGTACCGAAAGCTTGCCACTGAAAAAATAAGATCAGTCTATCATGTCTTTTTCTCCTTAGGTTACAGAACGTCGTTATTATGCATCAAACAATACATTCACTGAAATAAAGATTGGTAAAAATCTTTCTGATATTCTCATTACCTATCCGGAGCTTAAACAATGGCCAACAATAGCTGTACCAATGAAAGCAGGAAGTGCTTCGTTTCATAGCGGTCATTTAATTCATGGTGCCGGTGCTAATATGACATCTGGACGAAGAGCAGCAATGACTATACAGATGTAACCAACAGTATAAGAAAACAGATCTATGTACACTGTTGTAACTATGTCTTCTTCATTTAGGATGCCTGATAATATGATTTTTAATGGTAAACAAAATATATTAACAAAGAAACAAATGACTGAATTAAAAGTCGGTGTTTCTGTGTTTAATGATGATAATATTAATCCTATATTGTACAAAAAATTAAGATAAATTATGATTATTTTAATAAAGTAGTTTAAAACAAGGAAGAAACGTTCCTAAGTTGGCAATCTCTTCAGCCGCGATCGAACGAGTGTGGATACAACTGGCAAAAAGTTCCGAAGAGAACATATGGCCAAAATGACCTCGTGAGAAGGGTAAAAGTAAAGCTTTAAAGTATAAAAATCAGATTGCCTATATAAAAAGGGTTATCACACACTTTGGGTTAACCCCTAATACAATATATGCGAAAAGTAATTACAAGTTACGCTACCTTAAGTATTCCAAAATTAACATTTTCAGAGGTTAACCAAAACTTTGGGATAACCCTTCTTTTATATATTTGATTTTTTAACCGTAAAGCTTTACTTTTACCCTTCTCACGAGGTCATTTTGGCCATATGATGTTTCGGCGAGGGTTTCAAATTATTAATCTCAAGTTTAACTGAATCTCTGTTCAATTCCATGCCGAGAAAGAGATTGCAATAATTAAATACCTTTTGTGCGTAAATATATCCTGAGATTGGGTTGGAATTACCAAAGCGTGCCGGATCAGCCACTTTCCTCAATTTCAGCCTTTTATCCATTGTCTAAGAGACACTTTTCAAAGAAATCAATTTAGTGGTGGTAATTAACATCGACAAATGTGGATCTCCTGATCGTGTAATAAGGTCATCACAGGAAGGGTAAACGTTTACTCATGGCTTTATTACTGAAAGTATGCCTATTTGAGTCTCGGAATTTAGGCGCAGAAAACAGGCACTTTATTATCCGAGTTAGTAGAGAAGGCTATAAGTTACTTGGTAATAGCCTCATTTCCAAATGTGCTAAATGTCTAAGTCGAAATAAGATACAATGACTTTGTTTTGGAATGAGAAGATCAACGTTGAAAAACAAGGAGTACTTAAAGTATGATACAACTGTAAAAGTATAATATGAAAAAATAATTCATCAAGATGCACAGTGCTCGGTTAAATGTCAAGCAAAAACTTCGCTATGATCATTGAATTTCAAACTTGATAAGTGTAAAATACTTTTCGAACGACATGTATGCAAAAACTCTATGTATTTGTATGAGAGTATCAAACTATGGAAGTGATACGCAAGAAAAAAATTTACAGATTTTCTCTTATTGAGAACAAAGCTACGTTCATACAGCAAAGGACAATGGCAGATACGAAATATTTGGTGAAGATCATTATGCATGCCATTAAAATATGTTTACCGAGTCTTGCTCTTCTCAATTGTTAATTTTTCTACATCATCATTTTTTTTTTCTAAACCAGTTTATTTAAAACTACGTAACAAAATTACACAACAAAGCGGGCCTAGCCCATTATATGTTGAGAGAAAGTGAAGCGACAAAGTAAAAGAGAGAAAAAGGAAAAAACATGAGAAAATTATAAGAAAAAAGCATGAGAGAATCATTGAAACAATACATATAAAAGCCCATAACCGAAATAAAAACAGTAATGAATATACTATATAGCAAGAAGAAAGAACAAAGTAAGAATGCAATTCAGTAAATTAATCTGAATGA